GGTTTGGGGGGGGGGGGCACAGTCACTAGGGCTTAAGGGCTAAGTGACCCCAAAATGAATCACCTCCATTTAGTTGCTCTCCACATAGGGGCACTGGAAGGGCCACCAATTGTTAATTGATTTGTTGACCTAAAGGTCAAGCTATGTCCTTGGCAGGCTAAGGCCTGGGGGTCCTTGCTGGTTTCCCTGGGGAGGACCAGGGCTGTGGTCACTCCTCATTCAGCTCCCTAGTCCGGAGTGGACAGGGAGAGTGGTGGCTCCCTGGGGGCCCGTGAGGAGTAGACTGTGGGCCCTACAGGGGCTGCTGACCTGGCAAAGCTCCCTGAGGGGTCCCTCCCTCCCAAGCCCCTGCCTTGTCCACTCAACTGCCTGGCTTGGGGCTAGAGGCCACTGGGCGTGGTAGGTGACAGAGCCTCCTCCCCTTGACCCAAAGCAGCTGGTCTCCCCTCTCCTCCCTGGGGTGTGAAAGTCGGGCCCTGGGGAAACTGAGTCTTTGGAAGGGGGTCACCGTGACTCAGGACAGGCACTGAGTTACGGCAGAGCTGGGGTTGTCCCCAGGCCTTCTCTTTAAATCCCAAACCGGGCTGGGTGGGGGTCCTCTTGGAGAGGGTCCCTGAAGCCCCTCCCTTCCCCCCGGCTATCGAGGTGAAGGCCAGTAGGGCCCCTAACCTGGCAATGTTCCTGCAACCAAGTCCCTGCCCCCTCCCCCACCCCTTGACTGGCAGTTCCAGGGGGCAGCTGGATCACTCTGCCCAGAATAACCCTGGGTGGGGGAGAGTGCCGTCCGAGGGAGGGGCTGGGAGGGGGTCACAGACCAGAGTGTCCTGAGCTGCCCAAATCGGCCGGGCCAATCAGCTGCTCTGGACGCTGCTCTTTCCTTTCAAGGCAAGAGAGCAGGGGAAGGAGCTATCCAGCTGCCCACTGGGACCCCCCCTCCCCTCCTGGGCCCTCAGTTTCCCCAGACCTGCAAGGAGGTTTGGGTAGTGGTCTCTTCACTTTGTTCCTGTCACTCTGGGGTCCTGAGAGGTGTTCGAGGGGTAACCCTGGGGAGTTTTGGTGAAGGGAGGGTTTTGGAAGAGTAGGTAGAACTCTGGGATTCCCCACCTTGCTTCTACCCTATCAGCTGCTCTTACAAATTGGGGGTCCTTCTATTGCATTTAATTTGAGGTCCCTACATCTAAGGCATTGTTGGGAGCCCAGGCTAGTGGTTTCTAGTGTTTGTTCACATTTGACAGCCAGGCTGGAGTCTCAGTGGGATCTGGTTGTGTCTCAAATGGTCAGTTGCTGTGTGGATGGGCCAGGAGCGTGGTACCCGTGGCAGGAGGACCTGAGCGGGAGCAGAAGCGAGCCTCAGGGTCCCCTTTTACAAATGGAAGGAGCATGTCTTCCCAGGGGAGATGGGAACAGTAAGGGCCTGTTTCTTCCTTAGGGCTCCTATGTTACACTGTCCGCACATCGCTGTAACTGTGGTGGTCGGGGTGCAGTCAGCATTTTCACACCTGGTGTTGACTTAATTATGTCACTCGCCCCATGAGGGGAACATGCCCTGTCTTCACAATGAGTGAACCAGAGTCCGGGGCGAAGCAACTTGCCCAGGAGCTGCGCCTTGGAGGCTGCGCTGGCACTCAGGGTATTGAACACCCCAGGAGATGAATGTCTGTTGATGAGGCTGGGGAGGCTCGGGGTCTGTAGTTGCAGGAGGCACGTGTCATCAAGACAGGTAATTAGATTCTTTTCGTTACAACTGATGTTTCTTGGGCATCTGCTCAGGGTCAGGCAGGACCCTGGCTGCTCAGCCCCTGTCACTGACTGTTCTCCTTATGAGGTGGTGGGTTCCCCGTTTCCCAGAATTAAACTGAGGGGCTTTGAGGCCCAGTTCAGGAGTGAAGAGGCAGGGGCAGTGTGCAAAGCCAGGTGTGGATGGAGAGGAGAGGATCAGACCCACCGTGTGGGGTAGGCAGTGGCCACAGGGGGACCTCGAGGGACCCTCAGGGCCAGAGAGGCTCATTTCTTTCCATGGTCCACACAGTCACCCTTGTGGCCCAATGGGAGGCCAGACCAAAGGAGTGGGGGCCTCAGTGTCTCCCCAAAAAGCCCATGGTCACTCCCAACTCAGTTGGGCTGATATGGTTGTCGGTGAGGGCTGGGACAGCTGGCCCAGGACCTGCTAATTATAGCTGCTCAGGTATTTGAACAGAGGTATTAAGTACCAGAAGCACCTTTTCACCTTTCTTCCCGATCA